CAGATCAAGTAAGTTTGACAGTTGTACGAAAATCTGATGGACAATCAATGACTTTTGTATTGAATGAAAAAACTCGTATACATGATTTAAAACATGAATTAAAACGACGATTAAAACCAAGATTTGATCGAGGATGTCGTTTAATTTTTCGTAATCAAGTACTTAAAGGTAAACATACACTTAAACATTATGGAATAAAAAAAGGTGTTAATGATCAAGCTATTTCAAGTATGTTATCGAAATTTTTAAATATATATTTTCTATTTAAAACATTATAAATATATATATATATATATATATAGTGGATGATACAAAAGATTCGAAATCATCATCATCATCATCGTCATCATCAGATTCCGAATAAGAAAAATAACATTTTATTCGAACTAGATTTGTTTATTATATCTATAATGTTTCTTTTTTCTACACAGAATAAATTTGTAAAAATGTTCTTCACAACAATATTAATATAAGATTTTTATTATAAAGATTTATATTAATAACTTGTTTTTCTTTTTTAATATGATATTTTATGGACAGTATATTAATAAGCACGATAGAGTTTGGATATATAATGAGTATAAAAATATTTAAGTTATAGTTATTTGTTATCTTCTCACATGTAATATTTGTCTGTAAATATCTTAAAATATTTTCTTACTTTTACTTCTAAATCTTCATTTTATTCATCAGTATTACTAAAGTCATATGTGTTGATATGGTGTCCTATAAATTTAATTAATTTATCTATTCAAGTCCTGTTTTCTGACATTTGACAAGAGAAAATGAAAAGACATATATGTTGAAGATAATGAAGTTGTTTTTTTTTACTTAGTCAAGTGTCTTAACCAATCAATTACTTACGTGACTTATTATCGAAGTAAAATTCTTCTTAGAAACTGTTGTCTCTATTATATGAAATGTTGATATGAAAACCTTTCTCTTTCTGTCTTTTTTTTATTCCTACCCGACAGATCATCAATCAATACAAGCACAGTCTACGAGAATGATATTTCTTTGATCAATTTTCATATATTGATACATAAAATGATTTTCTTTTTTTTAAATTGTATGAATTTTTTATTATTTCCAAAATTTCAAACGTTACTAATAAATGTTTCTAGAATAAATCACTTGCTAAGATGAAGTTCTTTTTCTAGACATTACTTCCGATTATGAATAAAAGAAATTGAATGGATTGTAATATAACGAAGCTCCGACATGTATGATGAATAGATTAGGAAATGTCAAAAAGTATCTTGAGGCATGTTCTTTATCTCGTACTCATAATAAAATTTATTCGCGCAGTAATAAAGTATAAGCTTTAATACACTCATTTTTTTTATGAGTAAACATTCAAGGCTACAAACGAATTTCTAATGTAGTAACAATTTCAATTGATCAATTGTTGTCTCATCAAAAAACAACTGATTTGTATATCATTAATCATGCTGACTCTAAATATGAACAGAAGGAATTCTCGTGGGATTTTCTAAATTAGTAAAACACTTTGCCAAAATCATTTTCAATCTGCTTAAATTAAAAAGCATATGAAGTCATCAATAAGATAATAATCATTTCCGTTTTTCTAAAAAATCAGCTTTAAGCAAAAATAATATCATATTAACGAATTCCACATGGAAATGCTCATATGCATCTGTTATATGAATTAAAATGACTATATTTATTCCAAGAAATCAAACAGATAATGGGAAATAAAATAAAATAACTGATGTCTAGGCAAACTGATGTATTCTTTGATCTGAGCAATATTAAAAAATGATTTATTTTTGCAAAATGTTTGTTAGTATGGAAAACATCAAGAGATTCCTCATGTTCATATTCGGAATTAGCAGGATTGATAACCTACTATCGAAAAGCTTTTATGAAGAAAAAGTAATTGACCACTTGAAACAATTCTCTCGTAAAGTAGTTAATCGCATTTTCTAAGTAGATTAATGATGAAAGATAGAAAAATCTATAATTAAATATATGCCATGAGTATCATAATACAAATGCTAATATTACCTAGAGAAAAAAAAAGATATATATACGCCGGGAAAAAATAAGCTATAGGCTGTATTTTGGGAATATCGTTATCATAGCAGCGTATTTTTTAAAAAATAATGATATATTCTGAAAGCGCGTGGAGTTTTCTATCAGCTTGTATAGTTGTCTTTTCATTTGAATACATATATTACCAAAAAAAATTGAGTGTAATGAAGGCACCCTCATATCCAGATTCCCATAGACTTGATTTTGTCACTGTCACCAAAATTAGTTTTTAAAATTTTTCATCACTATAGAATTATCTTTTGAAAAAAAGTAATTATATATTCTGATAGAACTTGAAATTTTCTATCATCCTGTATATTTACTTATTTCTTTATATTAATTTATCGAAAAGAAAATTTGAGTACGGTGAATGCACCGTCAATTGACAAGTACCAAAAATTTGCGTTTTTCGTCGCTTCCGGAGTTCTATTTTTAGATTTATGATCCTTATGGAAAAATTTATTTTTAAAAATCAATCACAGATTCTTATAGGGCTTGAAATTCTCTAGCATCCTGTACATTTGTTAACTACTTTCCATTTATGTGCCGGAGAATAATTCGAGTGTTACGTCGACACCCTTCTTGACGAGCTTCTAAAAGCAAGTAGCTTTTTTACTAGATATCTCGTTTTTTTGTTTCAAAAGTACACGATGATAGAGAATGTCAAGCTCTATCAGAATATATAATTACTTTTTTCAAAAGATAATTCTATAGTGATGAAAAATTTTAAAAACTAATTTTGGTGACAGTGACAAAACCAAGTCTGTGGGAATCTGGATATGAGGGTGCCTTCATTACACTCAATTTATTTTGGTAATATAGGTATTCAAACGAAAAGACAACTATACAAGCTGATAGAAAACTCCACGCACTTTCAGAATATGTCATTATTTTTTAAAAAATACGCTGCTATGATAACGATATTCCCAAAATACAGACTATAGCTTATTTTTTTTAGGCGTATATATATATCAATGAAAAGAAATGTGAGTGATCTAGGTGAATAGATGTAAGGAAATGAGGTCAGACAATCATTTCAATGATTAATAATATTATATGAATAAGAATTATTTTTATTTTTATATTCTATAACAAAAAAACAAACAAACAAAGACAACATGTATAAATCAAAATTTGTATTCTTAATTTATTTTTGTATGAAAGTACTTTCAAGAAATAATTCTATAAATTATATTCGATAGTATTTGTATCACGTATTTTTTTAAAGTGTTTGAATTAATCTCGACGATTTTTATTAATAAATGATCACTTCATATTTATTCTCATTGATTGAAATATTCACAAAATTAATATCGACATGTCACATCAAATATCAAAAATATTTCGTTCAAGCTTTCTTATCAATAATTAGAAAAAAGAAACTATTTGGTTGAAATGAAGATGTATTATTAATTATCGAGTATCGTAAAATGTTTACTAATGGTTTTTTTTAATTTTACATATATTTTGTCTTGAGAAAATGATAAAATATTGAAATTTATTTTTTTAAAAAGTGTTGTCGAAAATTCTATATAAGATGTATGTATGAACTCCTATTATAGAACAAAAAAGTCTTTTAAATATTTTTATGCCAGTATGGTCGGAAGTTGGACAATCATGCAAGTTGTTCGTTTTGCTTATGAAAAAAAAAAACCATCAAAACATTTCAATATGAACTTGTTTAGACATTTTTGTAGAGCATTTCACAACATTCAGTATTAAATATGACTTATTCTTCTTATTCAAATGAAAAATTTGACATAAATTTACTACTGAAATGAATCATTGGCGATTAAAACCAATATTAAAGTTCAAATCATGAATAATTTAAAACTATATAAACAAAATATATTGTTCTTTTTTTTTCTCTACATTATGAAAAGTCGTTATTGAACAACTAGACAACAATAATAACATCAACTAACGGTTGATTGCTGAGTTCAAGATATTTGGTTACTTTAGTAAATTTTACTGACATTAACGACAGAAAGTTTTATGGCATCATGTTAATTGTAAGTCAATATTGAGAAAATGCGAGAAGCTTCTTAACTGATTAATCATTTTTGAATTCAGACCATGTGCAACATGTTGATCTTAATAAGTTGTCAATACTTTGGAAAGAATTCGAGCTCATAACTTATTACGACTGAGATAGTGCAACTATACGTCATTTTTTAATTTAATGGCATGTTTTCCTCTCAGGAGCACTAGAATAAATGAACGAATGTAGTTTATTATAAAATTTTCAGGCCTTTTGATTTACTTCTATCCTAAAATAGAAAACATCGAATCTGTTGATGTATACGAACTATATTAAAGAAGGCATTCTCTATCTTAGGATGAAAACAATAAAACAGTCTGAAATTTTTACAATAAACTATTTTTATTAAAGCCTGTCGGTGGGCAAAGCTTCAAGTCGAAATTTAAAATAGATTTTCATAGTGTTCCTGAGGGAGACTACTGTATCAAATTAACCATTACCGTATTGCTGCAGTATCCCAGCAGTTTCCAAGTCAAATCTCGGCGTATATTTTGCCATCAGACAGACTGAGGATAAGCGACTAGTTGAGGATAAGATCAAGAACGACACTCAGAGTGATGGCTAAATCTTCTGTAGTATAGCGCTCTTTTGATACAGTTAAAATGTATTATATACTATCAATAGATAAATACAAATAAATCTGCTAGTTTAAATAAACTCAATAGATCTCGGTAGTTCCTCATATGATGCACATATTCTTGACTCAAAAATAATTAATCAGTTGAGGTACTTTCCGCTTATGTTTATTTTTTCTTATTGGCAATAAACGACATCTATGATTACAATATTAGGTTTAACAATTTTTGCTTTCCATGATGTCCAATTGAATAAATGTAAAAATGGAGTTGCAACTTCTTCTTCTTCCATCCAATTCAATGTCGATCTCATAAAAAATTTGCGATAATCTTTTTAACATATATTTTCTATTCTATTGTACAATGTCTCTTTTAACTCGACCAAGTGTTGTTTTTGCTATTGTATTCGGATGTTTTGCAGTATTAGTACCACGAGTCTTTTTACCATTATTTCGATCGAAACCACCAGTAACACCATCACATAATTTGGATGAACGTAAATTGTTTCTTTTTTTCTCTAATTACAATACATTGAATAATTCATTATTTTTGTTCATATAGGTTTTCGTCGATCACCACCAGCAATGTCTCGTGGTGAACATGGCGATAGTATTGAACATATTCCTGTTTGTTATTATTAATATTTAAACAATGTTTTTATAATTAAATATTAACTATAATTTAGGGTACACCACCACATATGCGTGGTGCACATCCAAGTATGAGAATGCATCATCCTGGTGCTAATAGTCATCCACAAACATCATCTGATCATAGTAGTTCAAAATCAATAGTTACACTTGCTTTACCAATGTATACTGTTGGTATTGGAGTTTTTTTTATTTATACATGTTGTAAAGTATGTTTGAAATATATTATGAATTATTATTTATAATTGACTATTTTTTGTTTTTTTGTATTCATTTAGTATTGGTCAAAAAAAGATTCGGATGAAACTAAACGTAAAAATCGTTATTTAAATAATAATCTTCGATTGAATAGTGAAAAACGAAAACATCAATATGATATACTTGATAAAGATAGTGAAGATGAAGAAGATAATAAAGAAGATTTCTATAGTGGTAAATTTATTTATTTATTTATATTTAATTATTTGTTTACGAACTTTATTTATAGGATTAGATTCAGATTATATTGAATTTTTAAAAGCTAAAAAACAAAAAGCATTAGAAGCTGAACGAGCTATGACTGACGAACAAAAACAAAGTATATTTTTTATCTTCATGAATAGATATATTTTTATTTTTTATTTTTGAAATAAAATATTTCTAGTGCATTATGCTCTTGAAGAAATGAAAAAATCTTTATCATTTATTAGTTCAAAATTAGTTACAAAAGAAAATCGAGATAATTTAAGTAAGTAAGATAAAAGCAAAAAGTTTAGAAACATAATATCTTTGGATGTTTTTCCTTAAGGATAACGGCGAGAATAAATCAGAGAAAAGATTTCATTAGTTGAAACAATTTCCTAACAGAAGAAATACTTGTCAAATTTCCATTAATAGATTTGAATGAAAAGTCTCTGAAAGACGTCCCTAAGCTCTCCATGACCTACCTTCAGCGGATGATAATCATTATTCGATAGGCTATTCTCTGTTGCTTTTATAATAATTTATATGAATTTTCTATGCTTTATACATTGAGACCTTTCGTAGAATGAGTGCAGTTCATTCAAGATAGGTCATGGAAGGCTTAAGGACGTTTTTCAGAGACTTTTCATCCAAATCGGTTAATGGCAATTTTATAAATATTTTTCTTGATAGAATATTGTTTCGACTAATGAAATATTTTCTTTGATCTGTTCTAGCTGTCACCGTTAAGGGAAAAAATCAAAAATATTGTGTTTCTAAATTTTTTACCTCCACTTATAATACGATAAATTCAATTTTTAATATCTATTACCCAGTAGACAATAATGAAATTACTCAATTACAAGAACGTCTTGCTTCAACAGAAGCTCAAATGTGTAAAATTTTAACTGCACTTGATATGGCTTCGGAAAAAGTTAATGTTATAGCTAAAACTGCGTCTAATAAATCTCAAAAGGTTTAAAAGAAAATTTTTAATATACACTTGTTTTTTTTATTTTTATATTTTCTATTGAATTTTAGACTGATGATAAATATTGTTCTGCATTAAAATCACCTAGTGACGATGAAAGTAATGTTGATCAAAATCAAAGTTTACCATCGTCCGATGAAGAAAATGTACCTAGTCAAGTAGAAGAAGAAGAAGAAGATAATGATAATGAATAAAATAAACATTATTGTTCATTATCAAACTAATTGCAATTTAACAATCGAAAAAAAATAGAAAACAATCTGAAACAACTGATGAATAAAAATCATTTAACAAATATTAATGAATAATAATTTTTGTTTTTTGTTTTTCGCAATTTAAATATTTGTCTAGTCGTTGGTACATTTGTATCTTTATAAATCACTATCAGGATCTCATCTATAAATGTTTTAAAATTATTGTATTTTAATTTCAGACAAAAATAAAAAATAAAACAAATTATGGCGGATATTTATAAAAATGTTCGTATACCGAATGCAAATGATACAGTATATAAAGATGAATGTGTTTATTCATTTGATAATCCTGAATCTGAAAGTGGACTTTTTATTTGTATGTCAACATTTCGTGGATTTGGAAAAGATCATGTTGCAAGACATTGTAAACTTAATCCAGGTAAAAATGTTTTTTTACATATATCACGAAGACGAAAACCAGTACCAGTTGATCCAAATATTGAACCAACGAAAGTAACAAAAATGGCTATTGGTATTGAAGGTGGATTTGATGCTAATGGATCAAAACGATTTACATTTGAAGAAAAATATGCAATTTATGTACATCCAAATGTAGTTATTGCATATCCAGATGAAGCTGATAAATTACCTGAAAATGTTAAACAATCAGCCGATGCTATTATTACTGCTGAATCAGCTTTTTTAAAAGAAGAACGTGCATTATTAAATGCAACATGGAATGGAGAAATTCGTCAAATAACAAAACATGCTCAAACATTAGAACAATTAAATAATGGTCGAAAAATTTCACCAACTGGTTGGCAATGTGAAAAATGTGATTTAAAAGATAATTTATGGTTAAATTTAACTGATGGAACAATTTTATGTGGAAGAAAATTTTATGATGGTACTGGTGGAAATAATCATGCAGTTGAATATTATTATAAAACAAAATATCCATTAGCTGTTAAACTTGGTTAGTGAAATCGAAACTTTTCATTAGTATTTTGTTTTATTTTGAAAAATTTGTTTTTATTTTCTGTTTTATTATAGGAACAATAACTAGTAAAGGTGCAGACGTTTATTCTTATGATGAAGATGATATGGTTGAAGATCCAAATCTTGCTATTCATTTATCACATTGGGGAATTAATATGATGAATATGGAAAAAACTGATCGATCAATGGCTGATTTAGAAATTGAAATAAATCAGAAATATGGTGAAGCATCTATGATTGAAGAAACTAATTCAAAATTACAACCTGTTCATGGAGCAGGTAAATTATTAATGTATATATATATATATATAGGATAGTCTAAAAGTCAATTCACCGAAGAAAAAATTAAAAATCTTCGTCATAGTTTGACCAAATAATTTGATTTTTTTTATCGATGGAAAATGGATATTCCGAGGCTACCAGGCATGAAAAATAAAAATTTGAAATTCAGATTTAATCGAAAAATTAGAATTCTAATGGAGAAAATTCAACAAAAGAGTGGATCTTTTGAATGTTATTATGAATAGATAGTCTCTCACAATTTAGCGAAAGGTAGGTTCAGAAGCTGTGAATCAATTAGAGAGATTCTTCGTCGAAAGTAATCGGAAAAGATTATATTTCTATGTCGAAATCAATCATTATATATCAAAACGATTCTTAAAGATCAAACTATGATAGAAATAAATTCTTTTTCGGTTAACTGACTTTTGCATCATTCTGTAAATATTTTTGATTTGAATTTTTGTTTTTTTTGTTAGGCTACACTGGAATGAAAAATTTAGGAAATTCATGTTATATGAATTCTGTCATGCAAGTTTTATTTACAATAAAAGATTTTCAAGAAAAATATTATAAACATTGTGATTTTTATTTTGATTATGCTAAAGATCCAATAAATGATTTTAATACACAAACAGCTAAATTAGCGTTTGGTTTATTATCTGGTCTTTATTCACGAGAAATACCAATTGATAGTAATTTCTCATTTAAACCACCATCAATTGTTCGACCACAAATGTTTCGTTCATTAATTGGTCATAATCATCCAGAATTTAGTACTAAACAACAACAAGATGCTGCTGAATTTTTAGAATATTTTCTTGAACAAGTACATAAACATTGTTTAAATGATCCAACACCTAATGCATCACTTGATCCAAGTATATGTTTTCAATTTCAATTAGAAGAACGTCTTTATTGCCCTGATACAAGTGAAGTTCGATATTTAACACGAAATGATACAATGTTTCGAATGAATGTTCCATTAGATGCTGCTAAAAATATGCATGAAGTTCTTCATTATAATAAAACAAAAGAAGATATGGAAAAACAAGGACATAAAATAAATGATTTACCAATTGTACGTCCAATTGTTCCATTAACACAAGCTATTGCTCGATGGGCTGAACCAGAAGTAATTGAAGGTTTTCAAATAAATCGAAATAAATCAAAAGTAACTATTAGAAAAACACAACGATTTTTAACATTTCCAGATTATCTTCTTATTCAATTAAAAAAATATACATTTAATGATGATTGGACACCAAGAAAAATTGATGTATCAATGGAAATACCTGATGATATTGATCTTAGTTCATTACGTGCAACTGGTTTACAACATGGTGAAACACCTATGATAGATGGTAAAAATAAAAAACTTTTTATTATTTTCTACGATATTTTTATGATTATTTAGATGATGTTGAAAAAGTTACATCACCTTCGAATACACAAATCAATGAAGTTCATTTAGAACAACTTGTTAGTATGGGTTTTTCACTTGAAAATTGTAAGAAAGCATTAATTAATACAGGAAATAATAATATCGAAACAGCTATGAATTGGTTATTCGAACATAACGCAGATCCTGATTTTGATACACCATATCAAACATCAAATAAATTAGCAACATCAACTGTGAGTTAAAAAATGAAAGTTAACTTTTTCATTTTCTCTATTTACGATAGGCAGATGAAGAAAATATTGCTATACTTTTTTCAATGGGTTTTTCTCGTGCACATAGTATTCGTGCATTAGCAATGACAAATAATAATGTCGAGGCAGCTATTGATTGGGCAACTTCTAATCCAGAAGATAATTCAACATTACATACATTTGTTGAATCTTTACCTCAATCTTCACCATCTCAACATTTACTTTCAACAACTCCTCATTATCGTGATGGTCCTGGGAAATATCGTCTTGTTGCATTTATTTCACATATTGGTACTCATCCATCATGTGGTCATTATGTTGCACATATTTATAAAGATGGTCGATGGGTTATATTTAATGATGAAATTGTTGCACTTTCTGAACATCCACCAAAAGATTTAGCTTATCTTTATATATATAAACGTATGGCTTCGTAAAAATAACTTTAAAAAAAAATTTGAACTATTTTTAAAGCTCTTTTGTTTTCTTTTTTTTATAATTTACTAAATATTTTATTTGTTTGTCTTTGTTCACTATAACTACGATATTATCAAAATCAAGCATTCTTTTTTTTCCTTTTTTTACGGTTTTAGATGTATATTTTGTAAATTCTTATAATTAAAAAGAGAATCATGTCGACTAATAATGAAATGCAAATTCGTCGTACAGCATCTAATTCTCGTTCAACAATATCTTCAAAATCATCATCATCATCATCATCATCGTCATCATTACCAAAAGAGAATAAAATTCGAAATACTGAACCTATTTTATATAGTGAAGTAGCTGTTCGTTTTAATGAAAATAGTCTTGAACAATGTCGTACATCTGTTAGTGTTTTATCCGGTTGTGTAGCTGGTATTATTGGTTTAACATCTTATAAAGGATTTATTTTTTATGCTTTTTCAATGTTTTTTCTTAGTTTTCTCATTTATTTCTATATTAGAAATGAGCATCGAAAATTTTTTACCAGTTTAAATCATATATTTATTAATGGATTTTTTAATGGTTTACTTACTTATGTACTTTTTTGGACATTTCTTTATGGAATGGTTCATGTTTATTAAGAATTTAAATAATTATATGAACTAAATGCAATATCATAAAATATTTATGTATATTATTTGTTTGTTTTTACTACTATATTGTTGTTTTATTGAACAAAAGAATAAACTTAATAATGAATCAAAATTCATAGTGGGAAATTTTTACAATTATTTTATAGATAGTGTTACTTTTTTGAATAAAAAAACAAATCTCATCATTGAAATATGAAAATTAAGTCAACAATTTAATATTTATTCTTAATTAGTCTGAAATCATTCTCATCAACTTCAACATTGATAATATCCCATTCAATTTTAGATTTATTCAGTTTCTTATCATTATCTTATACAAGTTCAATAGTTAATCACTAGTTATATTATTATACAATGGAAGAGCCAAAAGGAATGGCCATTTTTTGCATATCATCTTTTCATCATCTAATAGGTTTTATTAAATATCCAAAATATACCATGATATGTAGCGAAAAAAGATCTAAGATGTTTCGAATTTCACAGTTATTACTAATCAATGAGATTCATCAAGTCTCAGTGTTACATTTCTCGATACTGAAATCTATGTAGTTTTGCAATATCCTTCGAAAAAAGACTGCTACCACTATGCTGCGATGGATACCTTTGATAATAATCGAAAACATTGTGATCAGTGCTATTAATCAGTCATCTGTGTTTGTCTATGAAATGCACGAAATATTGTTCACACCCACCATACCAATGTTTTTTAATGAGATAAAAAATAATCATATTTGCAGCATCGAAAATGAGTCGAACAGAATTCGATCTGTTTTAAAAACAAATCATGCATACATAGAATAAGCTTTTCTTTGCAAATTGTAGTGCTTGTTCGCTGTATCTTATGGTATATTTTGTGAAAAAAAAGCGTATTAGGTGACGAAAAGATGATTTGCAAAAAGCAGCCATTGATTATGATCAATCCGTTAGATCACGATGTACTTGTTTTACACAAACAAAACCAAAAATCGATATGATTCTGTTCTAAAAGCTCATCAATTAAAGAAGAAAAAAAAACTATAAAACTGAATAAAAAACATGGGATGTTTTAATACTGAAGATAAATTTGCATGATCATGAGAAAATTTGAGTTAATGTGGAATGACATATATTTCCATATTGATATCCGAATATGATTGAATTCTCTTGTTTCCTTCATTATTCAATTATCTAAAAATCCCATATAATTATCTACTAATTCTAATACCAAATAAATCACTTCGCAAAGCAATTTAAAATACGTTATTTGCAATAATATTCAATGGAAACAATGAACCGAAAAAGTTAGCTAGTAAAAATGAAGAACGTGGACGTAATTTTAACATTCTTTTCATTGAAACAAATTATATCTTGTGCTTAACAATAGAGTTTGACTCTATTTAACTTGTATCGAAAAACACCACTCGCTTAATCCACCACTATTGCTTGGCCAAATTGTATTCCTTCTGAAATGAACCTTAGATGTCAAATATAGTTGGTTATTTTTTTACTGTTCAAATAACAATTAAATATATTTATTCATATCCGCGAATGATTTATGATGTACGTAAAAATTTGAAGGTCGTCAAAATTTACATAAATACATCGGTTTTGAAGCAAATCATAGGCTCGTGCATCCATAGTATTATTTACTTGTTTGTTCACCAGACACATGTGCACTGTACATAAAAAGCGAGTCTGGAACCACGTGGATGATGGCAACAGTGCCAAAATAGTGCCGAAGGTGGTCAACACCAGAAAGGCTTTTTGGCGAGTGGTACAGTTGTGTCTAACAACAATTGACAAAATTTTCTTCGCCAATTTTTTCCTCATGTTTTCGGCGCTTTTATATTTCTTAAAAAATAATATTTCGTTTTTGAACACTCCCGTATGACCAACAATACAAAATTAAAAATACCACGAAAGAGTATTCTATTTGGCAAGGCATAACCACATACATATATATGTACTTCTAGGATACTTATTTCAATCTTAGCCTATTTTGTAATTAAATTTGCACAAATTTATGTTGGTCATATTACAATTCTTTAAGTTTAGATTTAGGTCAATTCCCTACCAGGATAATCTTTAATCAACTTTCGTTATGATTTAGTTTATTAATTTAACTAATGAGTATCAAAATGAGATCACAAAACGAGCGATATTTCACACGGACCGAGTCTATCAATGGGTAATTCCTTCTCTTAACTTTCAATGTTTGATATGTGTCAAAGAAATCAACGGAAAATGCATGACCTATGACTAACGGACGAAAAAACAATTACAGACAAAAAGTACATTGATACGATCACATAAACAAGAAAAAAAACTCGCATGACTATATCTGAAGAAGATATTGATCAAACCAAAACAATCTATCAAGAAAAGTCATTTTGATGTTTTCTTATAATTCTCATTCCAAACAACATCAAGAGAAAAAAAGGTTAGGACTTCTTTTTTTCTAAAGATGTCAAACTATTTATATTCTCACACTCTAATCATTCCGAGTATCCTTAAATACAGATGGTTAGAAAAATAATATCAACGATAAAAGCAAATGTACATTGATATTAAATTATATCAGTAGTGGAATATTATCATATTTAGTACTATTCATATAGAAAAAATTGCAGCCATAAAATACAAATAAAATCAATGAGAATTGTCTTCAAATAGTCTCGTATTTCAACGAAAGAAGTCAATCACTGTTTTGAAAATGTGATGAAAAGAAATCATAGAAATTCATAGTTATTTATTTTTAAGGATACTTTTACTATTAAGAATAAAACGTTTGTAGAAATATCAATGAATTGAAAATGTGTTTGAACGTTTTTTTAAAGAAATTCTTCTAATGAATTTCTATTATAACTAAATAATTCCTTCGTGTAATACGAAGAAACGTAATTGATGTGTTTAAAAAAAATGAATTGTTTGATTTACACTACATCAGATATTAGAGAAACAAGTAAATATATCCTCATTATCTAATATTTGATATATTATATCAAATCTGGCACGAAATTTAATCAAATGAATAAACAGAACTGAAAAACATAGTGCCAAAATTGAATAATGACATACAAAAATTTATTTCAATTGGTGCTTTCCTTCTTTAAGGATTAACTTTCCGCTCATTATTTGGAAGAAAATAGTGTATTGGTATGGATACAAGTTTGGGTATATTCTACATTCACACTCACATCTTGCCTATCATAATGAATACTCATTTCTCTTCTTCCAAACAATCGATAGAAAGTAAATTGTACACATATTTGAAGTCATTGTTTTGTACATATTCGAAGAACAGAATTAAATATCCTTGGATAACAGTATGAATATGCAATTATTAGAACATTAAGTAAAAATCGATCACAGCTGATGTCACGCCGATTTTGTTATAAAAACATTATTTTCTATATAATCTAGTAAAGAGATCATTTAAGACAAAAATAAACCATCTAGTTTCCGAAATATAATACTTAAACAATTGATCATCAAAGGAAGTGGCGCTTTTTCCATAGGCTATACCTCCCCCCTCCCGCAAGATTTCTTTTCGTTTCAATATTTTTTGGTTGTGGGTAGCACGAAGATGTAAAATCGCCCAATCAGACCTTGGACATTTTTAGTCTTAGCAAAAAAATCAATATTTTAGAGAACGGTCATTTATATAGGAAAGTACTAGAAAATAGGGTGTATTTAGAGGTTTCTGTAGTTGAAAGTTAATTTTTATGTAAAATGAGTATGATATTCAGAATCAGCATGAAAAATTACACTAGATAGTCTATTTTTTATTGTAAAATATTTTCCTTGGAAATCTGACCCCTACTCCCCCTCAGTCTTTTATCCATGAGATTTTTCCCCTTAGTCTCCTATGGATCAAATTTTCACAGAAAATATTTTACAATGAAAAATAGACTGTCTAGTGTAATTTTTCATGCTGATTCTGAATATCATACTCATTTTACATAAAAATTAACTGTCGACTACAGAAATCTCTAAATATTCTCTATTTTCTAGTACTTTCCTATATAAATGACCGTCCTCTAAAATATTGATTGTCTTTGCTAAGACTAAAAATGTCCAAGGTGTGATTGGGTGATTTTACATCTTTATACTATCTACAACCAAAAAATATTTGTGCAAAAAAATACCTGTGGGGGGGGGGGGGGTTATAAGCGTCACTTCCTTTCTCTAATCAGGCTACCAACCTTTATAAGGATAAAAGCAAAACAAAGCATTTTTTCATTTCATACTGTTCTTCTATCATTTCATGAACTAAAAAAAAACAATTATTGAATTTTCTTATGATAAAATGTTTTCTATCAGAGAATCTGACATAATAACTTGACGAGGGACTATCAGGATTTATTGGATTTATCTGAAATTATTTATTGATATTATATAATACATTTTAACTAAACCAAAAGAGAGCCGTAGTTCGGAAGAGTCGACCTTGACTTTCATCCGATTGTTGATCCTAAGTGTCGTTCTCGCCCTCATCCTCAGCTAAGTATCTGCCTTCAGTCTAGTTTCTTTCGTTTGATAATAACATATATAACGAGATTTATAGAAAAACCCTAATAATTCTCTGAAGATGATGAACTTGATTCGACATATAAGATGAATTGTTTTATTTCATAAGAATAGCGTACAATTGTTATAACAGTCCGAAATACTTGAGTTGAACAGAAATTTCATCTGCATATAGCATATCTATTTAAGAAAGTCTTTTTAAAGACTTGACTACTAATTAAAATAGAATCAATGATATAATTTATCCTTGTACATAAATAATAATTATTATTATATATATAATACTCTCAATACACAATCTACTTGATTCGTTTTGTTTATCATGTCTTCAATTATATCTTTTCTGGGACATAGAAGATTTTCATTGTATTATAATGAATTTGTCACAAACATTAGTATTCTATATGATCTAGACTTATTGGCCTTGCTTTCAATAGGATAAGATGATTGCAATCAATTACAAGATATTATAAGAATTGTTTATAAAACTTCTTCATTCATAATTTCTTTACAAGGATGTTCAGAATCACTTGATACATCAATCCTATCATGTAACAAGTTATTGAAAGCTTTTTCTTTTATTCGTATCTTCAGAAAAATTCAAATATCGAAAATTTTCCATTCGATTATAGTAACATAGATTTTAACCAAACATATTTGGATAAAACTTTTTTTTCCTAACTATATAGTGATCCAAAGGAAGTACATAATTATTTATTTGCCTAATGTCAATATTGCATTTGTAATTCAAATTGTTTTATTAACAATAAAAAAAAAAAATCCTCTCCAACTGTGTTCCTACTCGATTACACACTCTTATTCGATCCATTAGTCAAATATTGTGTTGTGCAGTTTGCCATGTTTTTTTTTTGTTTTGAGTATGAATTGGCTGATGAATCATCTTGTTAATAGTGAGACGCATATTCATCATAATAAAGTAACGAGAGACCTTCTGCTCTTCTTTTCTAAAGAACAAGAAAGAAAAAAACTATGAAAGTAGAAATAAAAAAAAATGATTTTTTTTTTATTTGAAAGTTCTGTTGTCAAGTAGATATTTGGCGTGAGTAAGTAAAAATAAATGACGACAGATTTATTTCACATACAACAAAGGAAATGTTTTTTCTTTTTAGATTTAATATGAACGTCATTTTTTGTCAAATAAAAATGGATATTATTAATACGAGAAATATATAACATTGAGAAAATTCTAAAGCTCTGTTTTTTTTTCTTCTATTTACAACTCTATGAACCATGAAGGCAGTTCAAAGTTTTCCTGTTCGTCGTTTTTTTTTTCTTAAATAAAATTGTCGAGATAAATATGACAAATTTTTATTAACAAATATTTTTTAAGATTTTAGATCATATTGTTTTTTAATAATTCAAAATGGTTGCATTGAGTTCCGAAGCTTTAATTGCAATAATAGTGATTGTTGTAGTTATTGTTATAATTATTGTAATCATTTTAGTAAGTAATTGAATTAAATTATGTTTGGTTTTATTTTTTTATTATTTTATTTTATATATTTAGATTTGTTGTTTATGTCGAAAATGCGAACAATGTGCCAAATGGTCACGACGAAAAGCATATGCACGAGAAGAAGAACAACATGAAAGACAAAAAACTGAAAGACGACATCAATTTGATCAAGCTGAAACAGAGCGTCAAGCAGCACGTGATCAAATTCGTGCAAAATACAATTTAAATGATGGAAAATCGAACGTAGCTGTTATTCCATAATTTCTTTTAATTGTATATTTGTCAATCATGATCTGAAAACTAATGTTGATGATAATGATGATGATGATGATGATTGTTGTGGTTTGTTTTTATTCTGAGAAAAAAATATGAATCAATATTTGATCAATGTCTATTTCACTTGAACAATTGATTGTTTATCTTCATAATGTATAGAAACGAAATCAGTATTCATTTCATACTAATTTTATTTCTTTGAATATATGTTCAACAGTTTGTTTCATTACTGCTACTACTGATTCATTAACATAGTAGGTGAATAAAAAAGAAATGAGATCAAGTTGAATAGAAGAACCTTGCAAATGGTGGATAGCAAAGAAAAAAAAAGAAACGATTGAAACTTAATATCGTACTTCATTTGACATTCATATAGATGTTAACTAAATATCTTGAAAATTATTCAAGTAAGATTATCATCATATAGCTTTTCTTCTTAGAAATTAACACATGTGTCGATTTATATAATATAACAAGTGATACATTGGTTATTGGAGAAATACTAGCGATTAATCGACTCGATTTCCTATCTGTTTATTCTAGACATACAAGAAGATAGATGTATATTTGTTCTTCTTCTTCTTCTCTTATGAAATAATAGATTTAAGCGAAGAGAATGATGATTGAACAACAATATTCTCAGCATCATTTTCGACAGATGAATTATAAAAGATCTCATACTAAAATGTAAGAATGTATTGCCGGACATCCCATCCAAATTTATCGTTAAGAAAGAAAAGAAAGAATAGAGTTAAGATAAACCTATTATTGGCCGTACAAAGAAGTGAGAAAAGAAAAAGAAGAAAACACATAATAGATTGTCCCTTGATTGAATCAAGCGGCTAAAGTACTGGTGATGTGTTACTAATGTCTAATGTCGATTTTTTCTTCGCTTCCGCATTTTCCTTTTTTTTTCTTCTTCCTGGTACTATTTCTCTCTCTATTGTATGTGGTTAGAACAACGTGCACACTCTAAATTTCTCATTCTAATCAAAAAGAATCAAGCTTTGACAAGAAGATACACATCCATATAGAAGCAATTGATCATGTCAATTTTCTTTCTATATATATATAACCTCTGATGATATATACTACAGTTTAATGTCATTCATATAGATTAATAGACGACAATCAGTAAGTTCTTTCTTCTTCTTCTTCTTCTATTTAGCAAACGTACTCAATTGTGTAATCAGACAGTACCAGGTGGCGACTATTGTAGTAGCTCTCTTTCGCGTTTCTCTATTAATTATAATAGACGAATCTAAATTGAATGTATATATACATTGTCGTTAGATTAGCAGCTGTTCTCTTTCACACTTATTGAGACCAATCAATTAAGTGCAAGAAAGTTCAATTGAGTAACTAAGAAAATTTTCCTTTTTTAATTTTTTTTTTGATTAAATAGTTGTCTAGAGCAATGTTTTTTTAAGATTAAAAACAAAAATCAATGAAAATTTTTGAGTAGAACAAGTTAAAGATCGTGCATTTATACATACATATGGAAATTCTCTGTCTTTTATCCTTGGGGGTGAGATGTCTAAACAAATGTAAATCATATACGAATATGATTTATCTATCATACGAAAATATACGTTTGATAGTAATGGTTCATGCTTGACAAGAGTAATAATATACAAAAGAAAAAGAAAGCTGTTTGAGCTATATATTTAGCGTTCACATGAATGAATGTATGTCTAATGACTGATCATTTTACTTAAGTATTTAGTCTTGTATTCTAAAAAAGCAATAAAATGTTTGTATGATTACTAAAACTATATATAACTAAGTAAATAGGAAAAGCATGTTTTATTAAGTATGTCTTTTTTTTTCTTCTTATTTTGTATGTGTTTGAGTGTAGTCAAGCATTTCAAGGTTTACATTTGTCAAAATAACTATTTGAGAACACATCTGCAAGCTCATCATTAATTCTCATCATCTTTCGGTTCGCCATTCTCATCTTCTTCGTTATTCGTCATCGAAAGGAAAGTCAATGTCGTTATGAAAAGCCTTGCATATCCGTCTTTGCTTTCTATCATCGCTTATATGCTCGATCTTTACATTTATTTTTATTGACAAGAACAAAAATAACAAGTCAAGTCTTACACTTTATTATCTAAACATTACAACAAAAATTCTTGTATCTTTTTTCTTTCTTGTTCTATTATTTTGGTTTGTTTATAATAAGATTCACATTTTTGATTATATTTGTCAAGCTTATCATCATAAACATTGAAATTTTGAATACAAATAAAACGAAAACGAGTAATGTAATGTTTTCTTTTGTTTTTCATAGTTGATTGTATGTTCAATGAAACAACATTAGTTTCTCAATTACTTGATTCAATTAATAATCATTTAAAAATTGTTCATTTATCAATGGAACAAAATAAATCTCATGAATATGAATCATCTGTTGATAATCCTGATGAAGATGATGATGATGATGATGATCTTTGGCTTAGTGGTCATCGATCAATATTTTCATCATATGAAAGTAATTATCAAAAAATTCTATCACCATTTCATAATAGTCAATATGAAGATTTTCATTGGGATTTATATGAAAATTATAATTATCATTATCTTGCATTTGAAAATAATCAACAAAATATTTCTCAAGAAGAAAATCTTTCTCAATTATCAAGACATTTCAATTCAAATAATACAAAATCATTATCTGATCGACCACGAACATCATGGCATGAAATAAAAACAAAATCTATGCATCATAGTTATTTATCATCAAGAAATACATCTAATAAAGATTATAATTCATCTAATCCATTAAAATTATATCGTCTATTTCAACGTACTAAATCTCAACAACATCCATGTTATTTATATCAAAATTTTAGTGATAAAAGTATAGGTGATTCATTAACATTATCATCTTCGTCATCATGTTCAAATTCTATTAAACCAGAACAACAAATTTCAATATCAAATATTAAATTAAATAAAGAACAATCTAAAACTAGTGTTGATCAATGTCTTCAAACATCGATTATTCTTTCTGAAAAAGATAATTTTACTATTACACATTCGAAAAATGTTAATCATCTATTAAATAATCCTAGTCATCCATCATCTATATCTCATCATTCATTACCAAATCTTGATTTTCTTACATATTATGCGAAAGAAAATCCAGTATCATTATCAAAAGTAACAAATCATTATTGTACAGTGATGAAAAGCACATTGTCGGAACCATTATCATTAACAAAAAAGGCTACATGTACTATATTCTATTTTAGTATTAAAGGTCCTAATCAATCTACAATATTTCATCCATCATTATCAACAATTCAAAAAATGCAAACACATAAAGAAATTAAACATATTCAAACAGTAAAAACTTGTCCAACTAAAATATCTACAGAAGAAACTGAACCATTTTCATCAACATGCTCAAGTATATCAAGTAGTGGTTATTGTAGTAATAGTTCAACGAATCAACCACATCATATTCAAACATGTTCATCGCCATATCCTCTTAAATCATGTCTAAAACGTACCAAAACTGAACAATCAACAAATTTACCATCAACAACAAATGTTCGTACTGTTGGTGTTACTGAAGATATAATTACGTTGCCTGATCAATGTGTTCATAATGAAAATGATACATCAAAAATGAGACGTTCTTCCTTACCAACTACATCATCACATGAACAAAATCTTTTATTAAAATTTCGAACAAGAAATAAAACTTGTACTTTATCCGAGCATGATCTTCCAACAAAGAAAAATGTTAGTTTTTGTGATGAAATTGTTCGAAGACTTATTATATCATCAACAAATCTCAAACATTCGTATGAAGGTATTGAATATAATTCGTTGTTTATTATTTTTGTTTTTCAAGTTTTTCGTTTTTCTAGATTATTGTGATTTAATACCACAAGAATATTTAATTGATAGTCCACCAAATGAATTTAATCTATCTGATAATGATGATAAAAATGAAAATCAAATAATAAATTTTATTGAAAACATACCAGAAAATCTCACAAAACCATTTCCATTTAAAAATAAAAATGATAAATATTTAATTGATGCATTTTCAAATACAATTCTTCATATATTAGAAATAAAATGTAGTGATCCAAAGGTAGAATAAATCATTTTTTGTTTTATTCTATTTATTTTTTAAATTTTTAGTCTTCTTATTTAAATAATCAAACAAATTCTGAATTAGATCGAATACTTCGTCAAGATTTATGTTCATTATTACGTGAAATACTCGATGATGGTTTACGACAATATTCTGGTTCTTTATTTTCAAAAAAAATTAATTTATGGCGTTTAATTGAATTAACAACACCAACAACAAATCGATTTAATGAAGCTAAAATGAAAGCACAAGTTGATATACCATCTACCATAGATTGGATTGAAAAATTTAATTCATTTATTTACCATTTACTCAAGTAAAAACCAAAAAACAAGTTTCGTTTTTTTTTTCGTTAATTGTTCTTTTGTTTTAGTCTTCATGAACTTGCTTCATGGTTGACACATTTTATTTCAAATCGTACATTACTAAATACACATTATGAATCATCAGCATTTCTGCTTATTAATATTAATAATGATTTAATTGAATGTATTACAAATCAATTAGAAAAATTATCACCATTACAATTTCGATTAAAATATAAAATTTTATCAAATTCAAAAATATTACTAACTAATCAGCGTTTATCTTCATCAATATTAACAAAAAAATTTAATGTACGAGCTTGGTTACGTGATAGAAAAGCTCAAATAAAAATTTCATCTAAAGAATCACAAATTCCATCAACAAAATCAATATCATCTGTATTATCAAATGTTTCTATTCGACGTAAATCAAATTCAATTCCAGGATCTGGACAACGTTAAATTATTTATATTAAAAATTACAATTGCATTTTAAATGCTAGATATATTCTCAATGATTGTTTTCTCTTCTTTTTTTTTTGTCCTTCTTTCTGTTGTTTTTATGT